TATTTATAATATTCGGTGTATGGTGTTCAAAATGTATCTTAACTTTTTCGTTGGCCGGAATAAAAATTCTAATTTGCAGCAGTATATTATCAGGTAGGCAATCTACCTGCGGTAGATCGCGGACCCCATGCTGTTTGTACGTAACTGTATGATTTAACTCTTATGTATTAAGGTGCGATTCCTAAGGAAGCGTCTAGTGACGCGTGACCGGCGCAGCTGACGCGGCGCGTTTTGAATTTTCGACGCGCGACTGAATAGGTATTCCTTACAAACTACAAATCGCAGCCGCAGCAGACGCGCGGCAGGACTTATTTACTTTATTATCATCATTATATCATATGTTATTTTAAAAATATGATATGATATCATATTAATCGTTTGCATCGTGTTTTACTTTACCTTTTTGTCGTGTATCGTGTTTGATTATTTATCCATGTTGCTCAGTAAAAAGAAAAAAGTTCTTCTACATATGCTTTTAGAAGAAGTAGACGAAGAAGAAATGATAATCAAACATATACTATGTAATAAAACAAAAAAATCTTATGTAACGGCAACTTACTTCTCTTCATCAAACATTTCCTGGAAGACAGATCTTTCCAAGTCAACAGCGAACCAAATATTATTATCTCCTATTTCATTTTTTATATTGGATAAAGTCTTATCATAACAATGTGATAGATAATTTTTTCTTAATAGACTTTCATCGGGTATATGTTTGCCAGTATATTTTTCTAAAAATGCCCGAAATTGTGGATTCTGCAATTTATACCACGGAATATTTGCAGCAACAAAACTCATACATAAATCTTCATAAAATTCATTAACATTTTTTTTAGAAGTCGATTCTGATAAAAACAATTGTTTTGAAGTGTTTAACTTACGCTTTAGAGCTTCTTGGTGTGAAGATGTATCTATATGTTGTGTTAACTGAGATTTTTTAATGCACGGTATATTTTTATTACACACTTGACAAAAAAGAGTTGTGCCATCAGTTGTAAAATTTATATTGTTTTTATTTAATGGTTGTATCCACTGTGAAATTAAAGTTTTTAATTTAGTTGATGGTCTTTTCGGCATTATTAACAAGTAAAAACAAGCGACTAATAAAATAAAACTAGGTACTCTGTACTTATGTCAATACTACACGACACGCGACACTGCACTGTTGTATACGGTACCGTACCTGTACCTCTAACGCTTGGAGCTAGCTATTTTTGTGTAGTAATTCCATTTTTTGTCGGCATTGTTATCTTAGATAAGTCACTTATCTTATGCACTATTGCAGTATATTACTACGTAGTAGGGTATAACAATCGTAAATACGATGGACGATGGTATATACATGTATAGTATATTTTCAATATCATATCAATATTATCGGACATACTATTATTTATATTATTTACGTCCCTGCAACCAAAATATCGAACATCTATATAAATTCATCGATATATTCTCTAATATTCTTTATTATACTAAATATTCTTTTATTTTAAAATATTCTCAAATATGCAAAAAAAACTTTTGCCATTAATACACCGGTTTCATGATTCGTAAAGATTTCGAACCCCCGTCTGACTGCATAGCCTCAAAAAAAATATGCAAAAGAATATAATTCCGGGCTCTAATTATCACCGTACAAAGTGTCCGCGATCGATTTTTACCAAATTATTTTCACCGTACAAAGTGTCCGCGATATGCAACTCAAACAATAGATAGTATAAACTGTCCGTTTACCGGTGAAACAGTCAAGTGGTTAATGTTTCTTTCACATAATGCTAAATTATCTATATATATAAAAATGGAGACAAAAAATTTGAAATAGCATCAGTTGAGAACGGCTGGGCCGATTTTGCTCAAATTTTTTTTAAATGATAGAGAATGTCGGTGAGCGGGTTTATAGCATAAATTATGGACCTAACTCATGTTAGTTAGAGATTTAGAGACAAAAACTGAGTTACACCGGTGGCGCCCTCTAGCGGATAAAAATATAAATATAAATATTATATAAATAATAATAAAAATCGAAAAAAAAAATATATTTTTATATTCTGGTTGATATACATTTTTTTATTATACACTTATAACTTAAGAGTAAGCAAATATAATACTTGGCACATTATTCATTTTACTTTGAAACATTATCGTTTTATGTTATCTATGAACTTTTTCAATCAAAAACGACTATTGTTTTTTTGTTTTTTTGCTTGAATCATGCCTCCTAGGAGAAGAATAAACATTGGACGGCGTACACGTAATGCAAGAAAGATTAATGAATTTAGACGTGCCCATAATACTCAGGCCAGCGCTGCACAAACGCCGCCTCAAATTCGACAACCTTTTATTACAAGAAGAAGAAGTTCAGATGTAGCCTTGAATCGCGCTGCTTTCGAATACGATTCCGCATTCGCTTACAAAGATCTTTTGTGTGTTGATATCGGCTCATTATATATCGTATGCCATTATTGCAAGGCATTGAAGTTTCGATTGGAAACCCCCGGCTTATGCTGCGCTGGTGGCAAGGTTAAATTACCAGTTTTAGCTCAACCACCAGAGCCATTGTATTCGTTTCTCTATGGAAATACAATCCAATCAAAACATTTCCTGGCGAATACACAAAAATATAACCGAAGTTTTCAAATGACGTCATTTGGAGCAGAAGTTATTGAACAACCAGGCTACAACCCGAGTTTTAAGGTAAAGGCGTTTGTAATAATAACACATTTTTTTTTTAATATTTAATATTTTAATATTTTAAACCACTTAAATATTCAGATTCAAGGACAAATTCACCATCGAGCAGGCGCTTTGTTACCACAACCAAACGAAGATCATAAGTTCCTTCAGATATATTTCGTTAGTAATTCGGAAAATGAAGTAGAACAGCGGTGTGCAATTTTTCCTGAAAAAAACGTGAAATAATCGGACAATTGCAAATTCTTCTGCATGAGCATAATCAATTGGTCAGAATGTTCAAAACCGCATTGGCCACAATGCATTCTGACGACCACAAAATCATTATCAGAGCAGATAAAAGACCCTCTGGAAGCCATGAAAGACAATTCAATGCTCCCATTATCAATGAAGTCGCAGTGGTGATTGTTGGCGAAAATGTGGCATCACGCGATATTGTTCTTAAGCGTCGCGATGGTGGACAATTGCAGCGCGTGTACGAGACTCATCGGTCATATGATGCACTAAGGTCCGACCAGATCATATTGATTCGATCATTTCTGCCGAAATACCAGATCCAGAAACGGATCCTGAGCTGCATTCTGTTGTGACCACGAACATGATACATGGCCCTTGCGGAACTCAGAATCCTGGGTCACCGTGCATGCAAAACGGAAACTGCAGTAAGCGTTTTCCGCGTCCGTTTGTGGTTGACACAATCAGTGGAATCGACGGATATCCATTGTATCGGCGTCGTTCTCCAGATGACAACGGCAGATCAATCATAATGAAAGTCAAGGGAAAAGATGTCGTCGTGGATAATCGCTGGATCGTTCCATATTGTCCACTTTTGTCGAAAACATTCTCAAATCACTGCAATGTTGAGTATTGCAACTCCATAAAATCTATCAAATATGTTTGCAAATATGTGAACAAAGGGAGTGACATGGCAGTGTTTGGCATTGCTGATCCAAATGCAAACGATGAGGTGATGAAATTTCCACTTGGACGTTACGTGAGTTGTAATGAGGCAATTTGGCGGCTGTTTTCATTTACAATTCATGAACGTCACCCGACCGTCGTACATTTGGCGGTTCACTTAGAGAACGGCCAGCGTGTATACTTTACGGAAGCGAACGCAGCGCAAAGAGCAGAACGACACCCAGCGACGACATTGACAAATTTTTTTTCGACATGCGTAAGCGATCCGTTCGCGAGGACTTTACTATATTCGGAAATGCCACGCTATTATACATGGAATGCTGTATCAAAAAAGTTTCAATGCAGGAAGAAAGGTGATTGTGTTGCTGGCTTCGCAGATGTCTATTCGACTGATTCCCTCGGACGAATATACACGGTTCATCCACGCCAAGACGAATGCTTCTATCTTCGCTTACTTTTGGTGAATGTTAGGGGCCCGACATCCTTCAATTACCTGCGTACCGTCAATGGTGTACTGTTCACAACTTTTCGGGAAGCTTGCCAATGCTTGAATTTGCTCGAAAACGATTCACATTGGGACTTAACACTCGCCGATGCAACCGTTTCTGCGCCAGCAAATCAAATTCGTACGTTGTTTGCGATCATCATAGCCACATGTAATCCATCGAACCCGAATGCATTGTGAGAGAAATACAAGGACGAGATGGTTGATGACATTTTGCACAGAGTTCGAACGACAAATTTTAATTTTGATATTGAAAGTAACGACGAGATGCGGAACGAAGCTTTAGTTCGGATCGAAGACATGTGCGTGCTCATGTGCGGCAGTCTGTTGTCAACTTTGGGAATGCCAGCGCCAAATCGTTCGAGGCACGATGCCTTCAATCTTGAATTACAGCGGGAGAAAAACTATGATATAGATGAGCAGGCTAAAAGAGTCCGAAAAAATGTGCCCCTGTTGAATTCCGAGCAGAAGACTGTATACGATTCGCTGATGAAGGTTGTTGATGATGGAACGGGAGGCATTTACTTTCTCGATGCTCCTGGAGGGACGGGCAAAACGTTCGTCATTTCGTTGATTCTGGCAACAATTCGGTCAAGATCACAAATTGCGTTGGCTGTCGCATCCTTCACAATGTTATGTATCGTGTATTGATCAGCTTTTACTAAGTCAATTGTATATCCTAGGATGTACACAACGTGTTTAGTAAAAGCCCGAATAAAATTTAGAATTTTAGCATTTACTGAGTACAAACAGTAAAACCTAGCATTAACTAGTAAAATCTAGGTTTACCTAGTGATCGGGCATTTACGGTAACATATATAGGGTCATTTGTTTTAGAGTTACAGCAAAAACCAAAATCGATTTTGTCGAAATCAAATTTCGCGTAAAAATTCCCGTTTTTTCTTTTGTTTTTCCTTGCGCTTTTGAAAACTGTTTTGAATTTTTAAAATGACCTCCCGAATGCTCCAACTAGATTCAATTTCCCATCGAAGAAGGTACTGAAGTTTAAAATCGAAGCATTATTTCGACTACTTATCGTGTGCTTAGACACAAAAAAATAAATAATATAAAATAAAAAAATAAAAAAACATTTTTCACTTGTTCACAATTTTTCATATTTTATATTTCAAATTTTTTTTATACGAAAACATAAACACACAAAGTACAGAAATTTTATTGAATGATGATGATAATAATATACAAGATCAAGCTACTGAACCGACCACGCCAAAATTTTTTCTTTCAACCCAACAAACGTCTGTTAAAAAAAAAAAAACGAAAAATAACTGATCGTCAAGATGAATTTTTAAAAGTCTGCACCAAGGCTTTAACGACAAATTATATCACCGAGTATGATGCTATTGGTATTAATGTTGCATCTAAACTCAAGAGGATGAAACAAACGCAATACATTTACTCTGAATCATTAATAAATAAAGTATTAACTCAGGGTTTATTAGAGACTTTAACATCAGAATCTGATATCTGTGAAAAATCATCATTCAGACAAACTCCCTGAAGCTCATATTCAAATTATTCCTATGTTTACCACGCACCACATGATTTAAATACACAAAGTACATACATCGATCAATAGCTTTATTCAACCAACTACAAATAGTGATGAACGTACACATGGACTTTCCGATACGCCTGCAGAAAGTACTTCTAAAGACAGCTATATCTGGACTTACGAAAACTTAAATAATATGCTATGACACACAAGAAATACATAAATTAATATAAAAATAAATAATATTATAATTATTTATTATATTTATGTATAACATTTTTAAATATTTACTATCAAGTTAAAACTTTTTTATTTATCACCAAGTCTGATGTTTTGTTTTTATTTATTTTTTATTTTCTACATTTAATGGTAAGGTAACCATCGAAAATATTTTATATTTTAAAGAGATAATATACGTTTATATTTAATTTGTATGATTAGTCTGTCTCTACAATCTATATGTACTGTCGACCGTCGACGTACGCCTACGCGATCTAATAATAGAATGACGATTAATTATTTTACACCATGTATGATTTTATTTTTGTTTTTCATTATTATGTGAAATAAAAATATTTTCTTAACTTCTAAAACTAAAAATTAATATAAATACCCACAAAAAAATTACGCCCACTAAAATTTTACGCCCGGGGATCAATCCCCGGCTCCCCCCCCCCTAGTTCCGCCTCTGAATAACGTTATTGATACAATAGAAATAC